TTATGGGGGGGGGTCGACCTAAGATACACAACTTCAGCTACGCGAATAGCACACACGTGCCCACACAGCTGCAGGAGGTTAAATGCCAAGACTTCCCCCTCTCCTCTCTCTGATGGGGATCCCCACTTCGCTCCCAGCGGGGTGCTGCGGCTTGTGAAGCGCTCAGAGCCCCTCAGAGCCACCCTGCTGGAGCAGGGCAAGCTGCTTGAGTGAGACACACCCTGGAAGCCAGACTCGGAGACCATCCCCGCTGCCCTGAGCCCTCCCGGGTTTCTGTCAGGCAGAGGTGACGCCTTTCTGTTGCTCGGATCGGGGCACAAAGTAAAGGTGAACCCTGGTAGAAATGGGGGGGGGACATGACTGCACGTGCCCCCCCAGCTATGTCCCCTGGGGATCTCCACATCAAAAGGGTTCCTCCGAGAGAGTGGCCCAAAGCTGGGGGCCTAGCACTGATCCTGTGGCACCCTGACAGTAGGATTGGTTCCGTTCATGTGAATGATGCTGGTCTCCAGGCAGGTGGCTCAGTGAGTCAGACACTTTGTGCCTTCCCTTTCCCACTCACTGAATAGCAGGACAAAGCCCACAGGGAAACTGAGGCACACTGCTCATAAAAATATTGCCTGAATTTCCACCTCCACACAAGTGCTCCACAGGGCGAGGGCTACTCTCACCTGCCCCGTTCAGTCCCCCAGAGCGTGTCTGGTGCTGCCTTGGACCCACCCACGGCCTGTCTGGAAGCCTGGTCTGGAACATGCCTCTTCCCATAGGTGCTGGGTGTCATGATTGGCGTTGGTGTTTCCATGTTGCTCGTCGCCACCTTGATCCTGGTGCTGGTCCGCAAGCGGCACCTCAAGAGTAAGTGCCCATCTCTGCAGGGAGCAAATCTGATCCCTTTCGCAGCTGTGGCTCTGGCATGCTGCTGTCCATCAGGCCATCTTGGGCTTAGTGTCTGCAGGCTGGATAGGCAGTGAGACCGTAATAGCTAGAGCAGGGGGCTCGCAACCAGGACTCCTGGGTTCTCTCCTACTGATCACTGCCTGGGCAAGTCCCTTGAGGGGCTCATGGAGCAGGCCTCCCCAGAGCCTGGCGCCAAGCGAGTTCTGGTGGCAGGGATGGCGAGGGTGGGTGATGGGGCCCCCTAAGGAGGGTGTTGCTGTGTTGCAGGACGGGAAGGAGACCCTGGTGAAGGAGGTGTTCCCCGGGGACAGCGTGCACAGCCTGCTCAGCATTCTTGACGTCATCACGGTACCAGCCCTGCCCCTCCACCTCCTGCTGGCCCCGTCCACCCATCCCACTCCCCCGCCCCTCTGGTGCTGGAGTGAATAGTCCAGCTCATTGAGTGACTGGCAGCCATGGGCTCCCCCCCAGTTCTGCTCATGCCCCTCAATCCCGATCTGCAACCCCCTGCTCTCCTAACCCTGGGTCCCTAACGAAAGGCTAAATCCGGGTAGGCCCTGTGGGATGTGTGTGCTAAGCCCACCCGACTCCCCGCATCCCATGATGGGTTTGCAGCCTGGGTCCCAGGTGGTGACATGCCACCATCATCCTGTCCTGTGCTTGCCACCTTGCCCCATGCGAGGTCTAGAGGAGATGAACCTTTCCTCCTCAGGGCCAGGGTCTCGGCCTTGGTTGGCTGCTGGGCTCGGGTGAATGTGGCTGTAGGCTGCTCTCTGAATCTTTTGGCCTGAAACCGTGGGGTATCCGCTGGATCCCTGGCTGTCCTTGGCAATGCCCACCACTGGTAGGCTGCTCTACCCAAAGGAGGAGGCAGGGGCACCCCAGCCTGGGTGCAGGGACCCATGGTTACCTGGTTCTCACACAGGGGCACCAGCGGCCGTACCGGACTGTGTCTGCGCGGGCAGGTGAGGACTCCACAGTGCTGCGGCTGCCAGTCGAGGCCTTCTCTGCCGTCTTCGAGAAGTATCCCGAGAGCCTGGTGTGGGTGGTGCAGGTGAGTGTGGCCTCAGCCCCCCTCCCATGTGCTGACGCCCTCCCCTCCCCCGCATTGTGCCCCACGCTCAGACTCTCCCCTTCCCTTTCAGATCATCATGGTGCGTCTGCAGCGGGTCACCTTCCTGGCCCTCCACAACTACCTGGGGCTGACCAATGAACTCTTCAGTCATGTGAGTGATGGGCCCTGCCCTGGAGCTCCTCCCGTGGGAGTGGTGGGTCCTGCTCCCTGCCCCAGAACCTTCGTCCTTCCCATCCCCGGTCCCTCCTGCTCATGGCAGTTTGGGCCAGACTTGGGCCAGTGTCCAAACCCTGGTCCCACTAGGGGGACTGGATGCCGGCACCTGGCTGGGGAGGGGACAGAAAGAGCTAGAACCCCCCGAGCAAAGCCCCTGTGTCTGCAAGGGGGGGATCCCTGTGCAGCAGGGATGAAGCAGGGCCTGGCAGGGTGCCCCCTGCTGGCAGCAAGTCACAGTGAGAGGCCTTAACACCCGGCCTGGCGGCTCTGGAGAGGTGAAGAATCCTGCGCCCAAGCAGTCTCTCCCCCTGGCACAGCCCTGCTCTGCCCTCAGACTTGGCTGCTGGAGCAGCGTTCCCTGCCTTGCTGGGTGGAGCACCTGGCTCGGGGTGGAGCCAAGGCCTGTGGGAACAGCCGGGTCCAACCTCTGATGCCAGAGGAACCAGCCCAGCGTTCAGATGGGTCACTGGGCTGGCGCTGTGACCCCCTGCGCCCCGGCTGCCAGGGAGCCAGGAGCCGAGAGCAAGCTTTGCAGGGCCATCGTGTGGCGGCAGCACCTGGCGCTCTGGGCTCAGCTGGGCTCTGCGCTCTCCTTGTCTACAGTGGCACATCTGGCCCCTCCCACGTTACGCAGCTCCGTGGACTCGGGTCTCCCCCACACAAGCCATGCGGCTGCTGGCGTGGAGCATGTTCCCTCTTGGACCATCAGCCAAGTGAGGGGAGCCAAGCCGTCCCCGTCCCTGTGCCTGTCCCCGTCCCCGTCCCCGTCTCTCTGCCTCAGCTCTTCTCTGGGGTGGGGGCAGGACTCTCTGGGGGAGGAGTTGCCCCCTGTGTGATGCGGGAGGTCAGACGAGATGCTCTGAATGGCCCCTATTGGCCTTGAGTGGTGGGTGTGGCTGGTTCCCAGGCTGGCACTGCCCAGCCTGACCTGGTGCTGATGCCAGCTGTGTCTGTGGCAGGAGATGCAGCCTCTGCGGCTCTTCCCCCAGCCCAGCCATGCCTCACGCACCAGCCCTGTCAGACACAGCAAGCGCGTCATCAGCGTCTCCTCCATCGACGACCACAAGGAGAGCTCTGGGAGGCAGCCAGATGCCAGCACCAAGGACCTGGGTAAGGGTTGCCCTGGCTCAGGGAGGGGAATGCAACAGCTGTGCTCCCCCTCAGAGCAACTGAGCTGGGCATGGACCGGACAGGGGTGAAAGAAGTCAAGGGTGCAGAAGGGTTCAGTACGGGGTGCTGTGCTGCAAGGAGCGGGGTGGAGGCTTGGTAGGTGGCACACTGTGCTGCCTGTCCCTGGCACTCCCCTTGCATAGAACTGGTCCACACCTTTCATATGCCACGACAGCTGTGGAGTGGCTCTCGTCACCAATCCTGCCCCTGGAGGTGGCCTGGCTGTAGGGTCCGACCCAGGGCAGGGGAGGCTCTGAACCCCGTGTGCTCGCTGTGCCAGTGTAACGGGATGTGTGTGTCACCCTCACAGCTGATCAGCTCAAGCTGGGGTCCCTGGAGCCCTCTGCAGTGCCACTGCTGAGCTGCTGCATCTCCATGCCAGTTGATATCTCAGGTAAGTGGAACTCTCCCAGGATGGGACCAGGTTGGGGATGGGACCCATGGGATCCTGGGGCAGCAGGTGATGGTGGGGAAACTCCTGGCACCCGCCCTGCCCTGCTGCAGGGTGGGGTTGCTGCCTGGCCAATGGGGATGGTGGTTGCTGCCCCAATTGAGCTGGGGAGGGGTTAGACTGCAGGAAGCAGGCTCAGGGCACTCTGGGGTTTGGAACCAACTGGGGAGAGCCCAGAGGCCACAGGTGCCAAGGAACCAGGGGGCAGGCGGAGGGTATGAGACGTGCCTCCAGGACGTGGGCGTCCTAGGGAATGGCAGTGAAGGAAGGTGGAGGGGGAAGTGCTGGGCTAAGCTGGGCCCTTGTTGACTGAGGCACTGGGCAGACTGGCCACGGGAGAGACCTCTCTGGTGCTGGCGAGGTTGTGCAGCCG